AAAAACTCCCTCGCCTCCTTTCCCCCGCTGACTTAATCTTTCTCTTTTCTTTTTTTTTTTTTTTTTTTTTTTTTTTGTCCTCTTTTTCCTATGTGGTTCTGTGCGCTCGGGCGAAAGAGCTCATAGAGTGGTTCCGTGCCGTCGGGCGATTGTTGGTTTTGTACGTAATCTAGTTCCTCCTTCCCGAAATATTCGCCCGACAGATACTATGGAGCTTGCTGGGTTTTGACGTGAACGGGACGAGGAGCTTACGTACAATACGACGATTTACGTGAGGAGGAAGGGCGAATCTTGGTATTGTATGAATGTAGTTCTTACCGAGATCTCCATGTCGAACCTCCCCGTCCTCATTTCTGCGTCAAACCCCAGCAAGGTCCTCGTCCCGTCCACGTCGAACCTCCTCAACCCCATCCTCATCTCCACGTCGGATCTGCTTCTTCCTCCCGGAAATCTTGGTACTGTACGTAAGAAAGTGCACGTCGACAGATACTATGGAGGAAGCAGAAGGAGATTACGTACAATACCAAGCTGCTTCTTCCTCCCGGAAATCTCGGTATTGTACGTAAGAAAGTGCACGTCGATAGATACTATGGAGGAAGCAGAAGGAGATTACGTACAATACCAAGGTTACCGGGAGGACGGGGAGGTTCGACATGCACTTTCTTACGTACAATATCAAGATTTCCGGGAGGAAGAAGGAGATCCGACGTGGAGATCAGGATGGAGTTGAGGAGGTTCGACGTGGACTGGACGAGGAGCTTGCTGGGGTTTGGCGCAGAAATGAGGACGGGGAGGTTCGACATGGACAGGACGAGGAGGACGTCGGACGTGGATAGGGCAGGTAGAAGGACGACGACTTGGAAAAAGTGCCTAGCAGTCCACACTCTCTCAGCCAACACAAACACCATGAGAAACTCTTCGTCTAGAAAGGCAATCGTAATCAATCAATCAATCAATCAATCAATCAAATAATCAATCAATCAATCATTGATCGATTGATCAATCAACGAATCGATCATTTTGGTATTTTAAAATCAATGAAAGTCGACATTTGACGGCCGATCGGCGATTGTTTATTGATTGATCATGACAGATCAGTTGATTGGTTGATTGACTGATCGGCCGATTGATCTATGGATAAATTTTATGACCGGTTGGTGTTTATCGACCCTTCAATATAATAAAAGATCGATCCGAAAGGGATAAAAAAACGAGAAATCAAGCTGCAAAAGGAAATGACGTCGACCTCCACGGTTCCTCCTCCTCCCTCCGTGTGGGTCCCCTCTACGTGCCCCCGCACCCCCCCACTCCAACCCCCCCCCCCCCCCCTTCTGCCCGCCTCTTGGCCTACTCTCCATGCGCCACCCACCGACACCCCTCACCCTCCCACCACCAACCCCCTGGCCCGAAAACTCCGGCAGGCCCCCGCCATTGCCCACTGTGCAGCCACAACAGTGGCTTGTGTTTCTTGTTTTCCAATCACAACGACGAGATCGTAGTGGAGACTGGATGCTAGGCCTCCGAAGCTGGCTGTCTTCGTATTCGACCACTGGGGAGATCAGGTGGCTTCTTACCTTATCTACCTTC